CTGCTTCCCAAGTAATGGGATTTCAGATGTTTGCCACCACTTCCTTGCCTCTATGTTTACTCTAGTGGCTTGTTCTGTGTTCTGGTCTTCAGGCACATTCTTTAGGGAACAAAATATATGACCACACATACATGAGAGAAACACTATCTCTATCTGACTTTGATGTGCATCTCTGCATGCCACTAATATGTGATGGCCATTTAAGCATACCTGTAGTCTGGAAACTGTATCAGCTGCATATTCAGGCATAATACTTTCACTATAATTCCCAGGGAACATTCTAGTGTATCATGTGGAAGAATGATGAATTAAAAAAAATGTACGAGTGGCTTATATTTTTAGTAAGCAGACAAAAGGGGAAAGACAGATTTTCTCTACTATTCTATCCCTGGTATTCTACCCATGGGCTAGTAGTTATTCTCAAACCCATGCATACTCAGATGATTTGCAGGAATACAGATAACCAAAAATAGAGCAAGTACATGATCAAAGGATGGAGTAGTAATTGCAGACGAGAGAGATTCTAGTGAAGGGTATTCAATAAATTTGTACAAAATTTCAATAGTTACATGTTAGTACTGAAGAGGAAATTTTAAGAGTGTGAAGTGGTACCGTGAAACCAAAATTAATTCCAAATGCATGCAGACATGTGTAGAACCACACCAAAAATCAAACTGATAAATGTCCACTTGCCTAAGGTATATATGTATCATGAATATGTCTTTCTAAAAGGAAAACATCAGATTATTCTTAATCAACATGAAATTGTTAGATAGGATATGCAATTTAAGAATGTTCAGAGCAAGTCTTCAAATTCATATCTCTATTTAGAATACAAACATACAAACATTCATTTTCAGGCACTACACACACACACACACACACACACACACATACACACACATTATATATATTGCTCATGTCAAAACTGAATTTCAAGCATTTAATCATTTCTGTTGGGGAAGCAAACATGTCATATCAGAAACTGTCAGCAGCAAAAAGCAACTGGCAGCAGAGAATCACAATCATCCATTTCTAGGAAGAAGTGGAGGCTTTCATGTAGATAGTCAGGATGTAGACACCAGCAGAGGGATAAAGGATCACTCCCAACTTGCCACTGGTTGTATTTTTCTTTTTGATAATTGGAGTGAGGACTCGGGATAAATTTCGTTCTTTCCCTCTAATCCACTTTCAGTTTCGCTGCTTCTGCTGCTGCATGTATTCAGAGGGAGACAAGAATGAGTCAGCAGCTCCTGTGTTCATCTCCAAGGTAACCTCAGGAT